TACCTCTTCCGGTATAAAAAATAAAGATTTTTTTTTAGTTTTGGCATTTTTTCCTTATAGAACTCGACGAGAGGAGCAACTTTGGTCCTCTTGGCCAACCTCGTATCTCTTACCGTTTGGCCTGGAAAACCTTTTCATTAGTAAAAGTTGAAACTTTGAGGCTCAGTATCTTTATTTTTTATACCGGAAGAGGTATTGAAATTTATACCACGCATAAAACACACCTAAAATTAACGTATATTCACTGCAGTTTCAAGAAAATCCTAAGAAAATCGATTTTCTCTAGTATAAGGACGAGAGAACGTCCTTAAGCTGATTATGACTCATACGCAGAAATTAATGGCAATCTCGATTATTCGGAAGAAGTTAATAAATATTTGTATGTCAACCCCCAAATTTGATCCGAATATTTTGAGAAAGATTAATAAATTGTTCAAAGAAGAATAGCTATATTAGAAAGTGGGGAATAGATAAAATATAGATACAAAATTTTTTAGATGACTATTCTTTTAACGCATAAGCAGCCTATTTCGTTCTAGAAGATTATCATATGCCGAAAAAGAAAAGTTAGAGTTTATTAGACGATCTAAGTAAACGTGACATAATATATGGCCGACTAAATTATTTTACACAAATCTGATGCATGTTCTTGTGTGCGTAAAAAAACGGGAGAAATCCGACTTTATATTAATTTTCAAGAATTAAACAAAAAATAGCAGTAAAAAATAATTTTTCAACTCAGCTGATGATAATTTAAATCGTCTGTGTAATAAATTTTATTTTTCCACGTTTGACTTGAAAGACGGATTTTATCACCCAGGTAGGAGAGTAACGTTTAAAGACGTTTTAATGACGTCCAATTGACGTTTAAAGACGTCAATTGAGACGTTATTAAGACGTTTGACGTCATTTGACGTTATTTTCCTACCAGGGCACATACGTAGAGTGAGTGAATAACGATCATGCGCTGTGAGAGAAATATATCCACACAGCACGGGGAGCCGGGGGAGCTACCGGAGAGCTCCCGAGCGAGGAGCCAGTTAGTGCGCGGAGGGATAGCATCACGTGTTGATCACTCTGGTCGTAACTCCAGCGACCAATACTCAGCGAAGTAGCCGCAGCCATACCAGCGCTTACGTCAATAGCAGGCACAGTACATACGCATTACGCATAGGGTCAATGCACCGTTTGTGGCCACTTTAAGGATTTTTGACGAAATAAATACGTTTTAATTAAATTCTATTTGTTATGTAACGCTTTTAACTACTTTAATATATTCTTAAGAATCTTTTAGATAAGAAACTTAAAATCAGCAAACAAATAAATTTAAATAAATATTTTAAAAATAAAAATTATATCATAAGTTCCGATTTCACCGTTTTTGGTCACCAAAACACCAGTTTTCGCCACAATAAGTACTAGTTTTGGCCACATAATGAACTGAGGTTAATTTCTAAATAAACAATTAATAAAATAGGTATATATAATAAAAATTATGATTTATTTTTACTGTTAATATTTATTTTTAATAAAATATTATATATATAGCATATCATACATAAACTTCTATCAACTAATATCGAGAATTTAAAAAATTTATCTTATGAAGGTTCATGCGTCATCAATAGGAACTTAAATTTTTTAAATTAGAATTGTAAAATAATATCAAATAAAATTGTAAAATAAAATAAAAAATAAAATAAAATATCAAAAAATTGTAAAATAAAAATATCAAAAAATTAACATTGTTTAAAATAATTCATCTAATCTATTACTATATTACTAAAATAATTCATCTAATCTATTATTTTTACTTTCTTGTTTTGTTAGCAGTTTTTAATTTTTTAGCAATTATTTCTCCCTTCCTTCTTTCTTTCTCTTGTTGCTTTTTCTTCTTTTCTATTTCCCTTTTCTTTTTTCTTTCTGCTTTTATTCTTAAATTTTCTTTTCGTTTTATCGCTAATTCTATTTTCTTTTTCTGTCTTTGCTCTAACAATAATCGCTTTTTATCCTTTTCTTTGTTTTTTAAATGTAACCAGCGATCACTTGTAATTATTGAACGTAATTGTATTTTATTTATATTTTTCTTTTTTGATGACTTTTTTACTTCAGGATAAACTAAAATGTTTTTCAAAGTTTCTTCTCTGCTGTTTGAGATTACTGATATTTGCGTTGTACAAATTTCCTGAACATTATTAGTTAAATCATTGTTTAAACAATTCTCATGCGGTTCATGGACATTTTAGTTGCAAATTATAAATGATAAAAATATAATATGTGGCATATTTAACTTTTACCTAATTTGTCCTCCAGACATGATACACAACAACCTCGGTTAATAACATCGATGTATACCCAGGTATCAAATTCCGTGTCGGAACCAGGAACAAAGACGCGAGCATGAAATCAGAATGCGAAATCCGCGCGAGGAATGCCGATCACGAACGCAAATGGCAATATAAGTGGGACCGCGAACTTCGGGATTTATCTCCACGAATTGGAGTGCATGCTTGCACGTCAACCCTCGATATCGAGCGGCTTCGATTGCGGCGCGTTGCGTCCACAGACACAACAGTCGATAACGGTGTGGATACGATGAAATACGTCGCGTCGAGCTAGATGATAAAGCTTGTTCTCTCGCAAAGGAATCATCTTTCGGAGAGTGAACGCTACGAAGACGTTGCATTTATTGTCTCTCATGAGAAAATATTTTTCCGCGCGTCTCTTTTAGATCTTGATAGAAGCTACTGACTCTGCTATTGATTCTCTTGCATCATGTATGGCAATATTAATATCGAAAAGTGTACAATCGGCAAACGCGATCTTTTCCGATATCTCTCGACCGTTTCCTGTAAACTGTCACGCGAGCATAAACGTCGACGTACAGTAACTGTGACACTTTTCGCATAAGCACGACGGTATTATTGGATAAGTTCAATGGTATCGTTATCTACAACGACGCCGTCGGGCATAAGCCGTGCTGAAGCTAGAGTCCTGATTAAGTATTCCCCCTAACTGCCAGTTAACGATCGCGACAACAGCGTCAGGAATAATTTTACGAGACAGCGTCGTGTGCAAGCCGTGCCGTATCTCTTGTCGGCTCCGCGAGGCTCCTATTCTCTCGCAGACTTTGTTCTCGAAAAGATTTAATAGCGAGGCAAAGAAAAAGGCTAAGAAACGAGGTAAATCGATCATTACAGAAAGAACACGTGTTGACTATAAATTTTCCCCATTTCTTTCCACGAAAATAAGTATGTTCTACATTACGATAATACTTCTTCCTTAAAAACACTGTTCTTCGCTTAAAATTCAGTAGGTGTTTATTTAAGATTTATTAACTCATCCTCGCGTTAATCAATTCGAAATGAAAATCACTGCCTGTGACGCGCGCCCGAGAAGCGTCGTAAAATTAGAATATCGAAACGCTATCTCACTAATTTAGTAAATAAGATGAACTTTCGAATCAAGGAACGATCTCAAGAATCGGACTCTTGTCTCGAAAGACGACAATCGCGATGGCAGACGAACTTCGCGAAAAACACGAAAGCGACACAGGGGAGAAACTGGAAGGGTTGGCTACGGCGTCCAGGTGGACAGGTTAAAGAGCATCGGAGCGTGTGGTTCGCGAACCGGTTCGGATCGATGAGATCCACAGGTGCCAGACCTAGCCTCATCCGCGCAAGCGCCCCTCTCGCACCCCCTCATGCTTTTGTCCTCCCTCCTCCGCGTGCCACCTTCCAACCCTTCGGTCTCTCCTCCACCGCAACTCCATCGTTTTAACCCTCTCCCTCCTCCCGTCCGCCCGACGTTTCTCCAGATCCGTACCCCCCCCCCCCCCCCCCTACCCCCCCCCCCCCCCCGATTCCCGTCTACGTGCAACGTGCATACTGACCGCAGAACGCGTGTAGCCGAGATACGTACGTATGGAACATGCGAACCAACGAATTAAACTTCGTTGATTCGATGGTTTGCGAAAAAAATAGTTATTTGTGTAACAAGTGTCGTAAGATGAAAATTCCCGGGTGCGGAGTTTACGCACGAGCCGAAGGCGAGTACGGTAACCGCACCCGGGAATTTTCATCTTTACACACGGCTTACACTCCCTATTTTATGTTGCAAGTGCCTGGAAAGTGGTCTATCACGCACGCGTAGCGTGCGTAATGGGGCACTTTTCATGCACGTGTTGCATAAAAGCCTTAAACCATATTATTAACCCTCAGGGTACACACTGGGTTAGCGTAACCCAAGCGAATTTTGAAAGTAGCGCCATTTCAAAGGAAGTGAATGGTGGGGGTCCGTACCGGGGAGAAAAATCTTTGAGGTAGCTACTTACTATGAGCGCCAAGGGGCAGCGTCAGTCTACGCTTGGTGCTCAAGTTATACGATTTTGAAAATTAAACTCGGGTAGTCTACACCCAGTCCGTACGGAACGTTAAAAAATCCGTGTTAAAAAAAAAATTTGTGTTTTTCAAGTATTTGCTGCAGTAGTTTTTTTTAGTATTTTGGTATGTATAATTTACTATTTGTAATATACTTTTGTGCATTCTAACCTCAAAATGGATGCTCTGTAGCATACCGGCATAACGTATCCGTGCATGCATGTTAATATTATTTCAATTTTTGTTATTTATTTAATATATACTAATCAACAACATCCAAAAGAACTATTTTTACTTTAAGATATTTTTTTTTGCGTTATTTCGATAAATCAAGCAAGTAACGTTATATCGCTATCGCAAAAAAACGGGTTTCATAGTTCAAAAAAAAAAAATACTTTTTGGAATAGATCAAAAAACGAATTCAGCCATTTCAAAGAACAACTTTTTAACTTTCAAACGCGACTTAAAAAATGTCGACATCTTTTTTTTTCATAAAGTTATGCAATTTAAAAGAAAAAGTGAATTTTTATGAAAATTTTTTGAGAATGGTTTACATTTTCAAATGTATCTTTGTTTAAACAAGTAATGTAATAAATCTATCAACGCCATTGTATTTTTGAGAAAATTTCCGATCCAAAGAAAAAAAAATTGTTTTAATTGACAAATTACAGCCCGATATACAGTCAATCAAAGTCGCCGGGTTAGGCTAACCCATGTCCGTACGAAACGTAACTTTTTTAAAGTCTGTACCCTGAGGGTAAAAACTGAATAATATTTGAATATCGAATGGAGTTTGCTCTTTAGCACTGACGTAGTCAACTGACTTATTGTATAAATTTTAATATTTACACTAATAGAACATATAACTTACTCTTACACTATGTAAAAATCATCATTTATTTTTTTATTTAATTTTCCGATAATTTTATAACCAATTATTAATGATAATTTTTCGGTTGCTACATTGATTAGAGCAGCCGGGTAAGAGCCTCCTTAAGCGACAGGCCGACGAAGACATATCTGGCCATTCTGGTCAGGACAAACTACCCCGCGTAGAAACCGACACTCAGCCACAAGGTAAGTTCAATACTTCCAATCGTTTTTAATGCCTAGCCGAGACGGTAGAATTTATTGAGAGAGATGAGGAGGATCACTTATTGTTAGTACATTCAAATAACGAGCATGTGAGTAAAGATAGCAGATTAACTTTAATATTATACGAGAGCTTAATAAAAAACTAGCTACATGTACAGATGGTCTCAAGTAAGCAGATGTTCGTTGAGGCAGCTGATCTGATAAATTAAAATAATTCCTCCTCTTTCTCCTCTAAAGATTTGCTTGTGGAATGCCGCCAGCATTAACAACAAAGAACTAGAATTAAATTATTTCATTTGCTCCAACAATATCGATATAGCTTTAATTACGGAAACGTGGCTGCATCCTAGCACTAAATTAAATTTCTCCGGTTTTGATATCATACGTTCGGATGTTGCTCGTGTCAAAGCAGGTGGAGTGGCAATTATAATTAATAAATCCTTACGCTATATACCACACCCTTCCTATCCCAGATGTTGATGGATGCGAAATATTGCTAATAAAGCTGCTGTCTGGCGTTAATATGATTCTGGGAGTCACGTATATTTCTCCCAACGTTAAATTTGAGCTCGATAAGCTAGATGTAATTTTAAAAAATAATTCGTATGGTAAAATATTGATTGACGGTGACTTTAATGCCAAGCATCGTAATTGAAATAACTTTTGTAATAATAATAGAGGCATCAAACTGCTGAACTATGCAAACTAAAATAACCTAAATATCATGCATAGTTCTACCTTCACATAAGGCGCCCCGTAGACGCCCTTCCAACATCGATTTGTTTCTAGCAAAAAATCTGAATTGCGATTTTACGTGTGTTACAGCAAACGAGCTATCTTCCAATATCACCTTCCCATTCTATTAAACCTAGAAAATTCGAAAATTAAGAGAAAATTTAATCAATCACATAAGGTCAACTGGGAAGGTTTTAAGCTTGCTACAAGTAGATGGAGGATTAGACATAGCTTGCAAAATCAGGAATCGATAGATTCTTGCATCCATTGCAGCAGTTTCTCTGATGCCTTGCGAGAGTCCACCGAGGTACAAAATCATAACTTTAACTATGTTACTTCAGATCCTAACGTAGCTTCAGAAATTAACAAGCTTATCAAACTTTGCAACTACTATCGTGGAAAATATCAGCATCTTGACACTGACAAATATAAACTTTATCGTAATATTTTTAACAATATTATCCAAAACAAATTTAATAAAGCTAAAAACAAAAAATGGTCTGAACGTTTAAAAAAAACAAAAATTAGTGATAATAGCTGGGGGCTGTGGAGGTCGCTACAAAAAAATAAAACTCCTGCACCACCATTCGATCTTGGAAATAACTCGTTTGCTTATAACCCGAAAGAAAAAGCCGAACTATTGGCGCAAAACTTTCAAAAAGTTTATCAAGATGCAGACAGTCTTATATCTCCATACGAAAAAGTAGTAATTCAATATGTTGAATTATTAGATGAAAAAAGACGGCGCCTCAATGTGATCTAAAATTTATTACGCTTCGCTTAATTTTTGACATCATAAAATCTTTTCCTAATAATAAAGCTCCTGGCTCGGATAAGGTCACTACTGAATGCTCAAAAAATCTTCATATAAAATTGTAATTCAGATCTATTACATAATCTTAAATTCATTTCGATTGTTTTATTTTCCTTCGTGTTGAAAGACAGCAAAAATACTTGCATTTCCTAAGCCGCAAACTTCACCGGCTAATTACAGACCCATTGGCCTTTTAAGTTCTTTAAGCAAAGTATACCAGAAGGTTTTACTTACGCAGATTGATGCCTTTTTATCAGAGAACAACATAATAAATCAATGAACAATTTGGCTTAAGGCGCGCCACTCAACCATACAACAATTACTGAGAGTTGCCGAATTTTTTGCTTTGGAGATTAACAAAAAGCGAAGCTCAGCCATGGTATTACTAGACATACAAAAAGCCTTTGATTCTGTCTGGCACAAGGCCTTGTTATATAAATTAAATACTCTCAGCATGCCGGAATATCTGATTAAAATAATTCGTTCATATCTAAAAGATCGCAAATTTATAGTAAACTTTGAGGGTGAAACATCATCTATTTGTGACGCTATCTCTGGAGTCCCTCAGGGCTCTATCTTGGGGCCCATTCTATTTAATATTTTCATAAATGATATTCCCAAGGACCCTATATAAGACCAAACTCGCTGTCTGACGATACTGCCGTTTACACCTCCTCCTGGAGTCCGGCTTTACTCGTCAGCAGAAACATGTTGATGCCATCGTTCAATTCTTTAGAAGTTGGAAGATGGCTATCAATAATGAGAAAACCGAGGCTATAATAATTACTCGTAAAAAATTTCCTAGAACTCCACCAAAAAAAATGTCAAGTTTTAGGGTTCCTTGGACCTCTAAGGTGAAATATCTCGGCATTAACATTGACGCAAGTTTAAATGGAAACCGGCAATCGAGGATAGAGTAAATAAAACTTAGGGAGCTCTTAGAAAATTATATCCTCTTATTAATAAATCAAGTAAACTTAAAACGGATTATAAACTATTGCTTTACAAGACTTGTGCCAAATCAGTGCTACTTTACGCGGCACCGGTCTGGGCAGCAACTCATAAATCTTATATTAAACGCATACAAAATGTGCAAAACAAATTTCTTCGCATCATCCTAAATCTCCTCAAATTACGCATCACACAATTGCACATTCAAACTCAGAGTCATTCAAGATATGATACATAAAGCGTATAATCATGATCATGATAATCCTCTCATCAGTAATACGGGCAATTATAACACGAAGGGTATTCGGATCCTCTAACCATTAGATGTAAACTCCCGAAACACTTCTTAGACTCGGTGTAGCTCACACGCAATTTCTGTCTTCCCCATTCCTTTTCCTTTTCTTTCGTCCTCTAAGCAAAATTTGAATTATTGTTAATGGGTTTTTTGCAAGTTTTTTCCCAATTCTCAGACTCGGAAATCAAACGTGCTTTCCATAACCTATTTTATATGTACAACACTAACTATCTTATGTTTTATGCAGGTAATAGGCTCGTCCCTGGGTACTGCGAATTACAATAAAAGGATCCTAAAAAAAAAAACGTGCAGAAAAGAAGAACTGAGAATTTTCTCCGGCGCCCCGCATCTCCAATTGCTAATAAGCTCCAGTATTTGCTTGCTAAAGAAGGGTACGGGTACCAGTACAACAGTAAGAACTTAACAGTCCTTCACTTAGCAGCAATAAAGGGCTAACGTGAAAGAAAATTGAGCAGAAATTTCCGAAAATGGGAACGAAGCTACCGGTTTTCTTTGAATACTTGGTGAAAAGAGCAAAAGTCGCGAATAAGAACATTAAGAACTCATACGACCTCATGTGTGGCGTACGTTTTAAGTATGACGATGAATCCAGTGATTATTTCTTACCGAATAAGTATAGATTTATGTATCCCGATAAAAACATAATTATTAAGTATGACGATGAAGGCAATATTGTTGAGGTAGACGATAACTTAATTGTTAAGTATGCTGATGATGACTGTATTATTGCTAAGTATGGCGATAAAGACTTAAATTTTTGGTATCACGATAACTGCTTTATTATGAAGCATGACGATGAAGGCCTGTCTGTGACGGTTGACGATAAAGGCATTATGTATATTCATTCTGACAATGGGGACGAGATCACAATTAACGAGATTGAGATTGACGATGGAGAGATTAGTGAGACGAAAGTGGTCCTAGACATCGCGTGTAACCCAAAACTTAATCATCTGCTAAAACATCGGTTGGTCTCGTTTTTTCTCGATCGCAAATGGTGCAAGATAAAACATATATTGTACACGTATATTGCCTTTTATATGATTTTTCACATTCTCCTGTGTGTCTATATCAGGACTTACAAGAGTACTCTTTCAATCCCGTGCTATCTCCTATGGTTTTTTGTTACCCTATTGTGGTTGCTTATCACCATTCTGGAGATTCTGCTATTCGCTTGCTGTTCTTGCCGTTACTTATTAATGAATTGGAAAAACTGGCTACGGGTTGTTCTGATTATATTTACCCCCTTTTTATTATTTGACGCGGGAGCATGGAGTTACGTCGTGGTAGACTTATTGTCTGCCTTAGTACTGACAACTCTGATCAGCCATCATCCGAAAATATCTATCAACATTGAAATGTTTTGGATAATTTGTCGTAAATGCGTGTGCTTACTTTTATCGTATTCGTTTCTTATCGCCGCGTTTGGCTTAACTTTCTACATACTCTTTGGGAACAATAAACATTTTTTTAATCTCGGGGACACGTTCTTCAAAACACTCATCATGGTATTTATAAGCGAATTCAACACCAACGATATCCCGGTCGACTCACATCCCGTTTTGAGCCCCATTGTGTTAGTGCTGTTTGCTTTCTTCATTTTTGTATTGGGCAAAGTCAGTAACACCGAAGAAATTCGGTCTGAAGCTGAACTGAACGGACTCAAATCTCGATTACGCCTGATCGTCTATCTCGAAAACATAGCATACGGCGAACCGTTCACTTGGCTCAATTGGTTCAGCCGCGGAAATTTGTGTTTGTTACGATGGAAACCCTTCAGCTTTCTCATTAACAGAATAGTTGAGGTTACGTATTATTCGCAATTTTTTTCTAACAACTTTATGAACATCAAATTGTGCGTGTGTTATAAAATGGATTCTAATACACCTAAAAATACTGAAGAAGTACGTATGATTTTTTGTAGACACGAGGTGTGTAATAACATTCAAAACCTGAAAGTTTTCCCGCGTGAATATGAATGTATTTACATGGAAGATGTTAAGACAGGTCATCGCATATCAAATACGCGTCAAGCGTATGCGTATTCCGATCTAGTGCGATGTGTGTCGAACGCGGCACTTCGGGGGTGCATTCGGGGAGCACGCTATTAGCACAATTATCGTCCAAAACTGTTCGAGGAGACGCTTTGTGGCGCTGTGATATACGATGATGACGTCACTGTAAAGGCAGCGTGACGTCATCACTCGCGCTATTTTCGCTATTATTTTCGAGGTGAGGCACGAAATACTATTGGCGCTTAAGCTGCGTTCGGGCAGCTTGCTATCGCTGTCGCGCTATTGGCTCTTCGAACGAAGTTCATAGCGTTTGCGTTTATAGCGTTAATAGCGTCTCCCCGAATGCACCCCGGATGAGCGGGCTCGGGGAGCCTCCGAGCCGCGAGCGCGGCCATACTGTACATACATGCAGTCGCAAGCGAACTACCGTATAGATAACACGCTAATTTTGAATAAAAGCATTTATTTGATACGACGAGTTACTCTATTCCTGAAAAGGAAACTCCTGCTTCTTTCTTTCCACGGTGCCTCAACAGAAGATAGGACACTCTGAAAAAATAATAAGATATAAAGTCGAAATAGTATAAAATTAAATATGTGTTAGAGCGTGTTAGGAAGCACGTCCGCATAACACGATTGCGGAGAACACAATGAGTAAGGACATAAATAATTTAAAACCAGTGAAGATTAACTACCTATTATTTTGTCGTAAATTGTTGTTAAATTTTCCGTGTTTTTCTGTAGGTTTATTGCTTGTGTGTGTTTTTTAATAAAAAACATCTCCGCAATCTCTCTCTTTTTAACGTTTTGCTCTCTATGTAATATTCTCGTTCCCGACCAATCAAATTCGTGATTAAATTCAAGCTGATGTTGGCTTATTACCGAATGATTACTAACGTGTTTCCTAATATCAGTTTTATGTTCTTTAATTCGAGTTTCAAGGTGTCTCTTCGTTTGTCCTACATATGTAGCATTACGGTCTAGGCCCTAGGCAGTCAATTTTATAAACCAATTCAATTTGTTTTATGTAACCGACAAGTTAACCGAGATAAAAGACAATTTGAAAAATCTTTTCAAGCTCATTTTAATTTAATAAATGATAGAAATATAAACTTCGGAAAAGCAATGGTGAAAAAACGAAAGTGTCGGACTGTCGATTCCATCGTATGCCCATCGTAGCATGTAATACATTAGTCTATATTGCCAACTAGATTTGTTGATGGTTCTTGATCATGATGTGGAATGTCAGATAATATGCGAGAATATCAAAATCGTTAGCGCTCCATTTTCCAAGGTAGAAGTCGCAGGCTTTGAGGACTTCGTTCAATTGTCGAATTTTGTTTTTAACTTGAAAGCGAATTGTCGTAAACAGTGCAAAGCGAGGTATGGAGCGCACGCAAGATATGTATCATAAATTTTAGTATCCGAAAGCGGACCAAACGCGTGAGCGAGATACCGAACCGCGTACCGATAAGAGACAGGCTTAAAGTTAATAAAGAGATTTTTAACGGACAACTCTTAAATTTATTTAGATACAAGTATATATTTACGCAGTTATTTACAGATAACTATAGTTATTCCTATAGGAATCGCAAATTAAAGTCGCGGCGAGAGAAGCAATAAGTCTAGCGGTCATTTGCTCATAAATAAGCTATCCGCCGAATACCATCTCAATCCTAAGATGGCTCTAATACATTTATTCCCGGTTATAATTTCGGCTTTATAATCGCTACGAGAATGATAATGAAGTTTTAAGGCAATCTTGAACATACCGCCCGCCTCATCAAAACCGCTGATAAACTAAGATATTATTATATTATATTATTTTCAACACACAATTAATTCGCAAGTGTGTCGTTGACACGCGCGATTTACGTCACGAGCGACTTATAATGGTTGCGATCCGATTCACGCTCAGAGAGTTGTATATAAGCATCATTCTGTCTTTGTTGCACATCGAATATCAAACGAAGATAGAGCAATGCTTACAACACTGTGAGCGTAAATCGGACCGCAGCCCATATGTGCGCCACAACACAACATTGCGTGCACGGATTTAAATGTCTTGGAATTAAAAAAGATCTCGTTGACATGTGTATATTTAATCCCTGTACATACGTGTCAACGTCAAGCAGTACGATATCGTAAATGACAAATACAACTAGCTCGTAGCGAGTCTGTAAATCTGTAAATCATGATAAATATATTGTGCCATCTTGAGAATTAATCCTAATATAATGAAGCAAGCTGAACAGATTAATTTGGATAAGAATCAAGTATTGGATAATGAGAAGATAATGATGGAGTTGACCAAGCTGCGGGAGTAATTGGCGGCGATGGAAGTTGCTTTGAATACGATTTTAAAAAGCTCACCATTGATAATATAAAATAGCAATATAAAAAATACAATGGAATTCGTGAGAAAAAGTTGATACGTGTGTATTTGAAAAGTTACTATATATATAAAAAACATTAACATGTATACATGAGATGTTTAAATTCATTCTTTACATATTCTACTGTTTAACAGACTTATAAAATGTCTTACCCTTTTCAGATTACTACATAGAACTCACAAAACTTAATTTTATAAATTATAATATCAAACAATACTGCCAAGTATATGTTAATTTTATTATAAGCGGTTTAACTTGTTAGCTACATGTAAATTATATCATTAAATTCAATACAATCCTAAACGAAATAAATTTATCTAAATACACGATATACAAATGTCTGGATGTATCGTTGCATACGATTTATATAATATATAACGAATGTTTTCACAATACATCTTTCAAAATTATCATTTTATAATTTGTATATATAATTTTTGTGTAACTCTAAGTAAATCTTTAATGATTATGTGAGGTCTATTTATAATATAACTCTATTTATAATGAGATTTTTTAAATATAATTTATACGAACAAAAGATAGATTGTAGTAAATATGTTGAAATTTATATCATCTCCATCTTTCATGCGTGCATGCGTACGTCTGCATCACCTGCATGTGCATGTACGCATAAATGAGAAATAATATATTACTAGATGTATCTTGCTGCGTGACGGTCTTTTCTCTCCCTCGACGTATTAGTATGTCGGTGTAAAACATGTTGAAGTCAAGTCTAATTCAAACATAAATAATTTAAAAATGAATTAGTAGATATATAATTTTATATCAATTGTGTAAGAAAAAAAGAAAGATGCGTAAAGATTATATAAATAGAATTCTTACCGACATAACACATTAAGTAATTTCTCATTGTTATTATCACAACCCAAATCACAAATTCAATCTAGAAAATCAATCGTGTCAATACTTTAGTAAATCTTTCATCTAATGGTACGATTGTTTCTTCGAAACTTCCTGTTCCATCTTTCGCTATAGAACTGTTTTCAATCTATGAAAAAATACAGTCAATTAATATATTATAAGCGTGTACATATATGTTACATAAATTAAAATAAAAAGCATTTTTTTTAAGTAACAGAAATGTGATATATAATGAAGCCTTATTTAAATGATGATATATAATAATGCAGCAATAAACTATTATCACCATGCCTTTTATGATTAACTATACAAATATAATGATTTTCTTCTTTGGAAACTAAATATAAATAATAATATGTATTATTATAATTCTAGAGGATAATTTGCATTTATAATAACACTTAAATATTTTTTTTAGATATGTAAATTTTCAACTTATGATTAGGTATTTGTTGTTTGACCAAGTAATAAAATAGCAAATGTTTAAGATACAATAATGTTGCATTATACAAAACGTATGTTGTAAAAATACTTACTTCAAGTCCATGCTCTTTAAAAAAATATCAAGAAATTATCATTCCACAAATTGAAAGCTAATAAAATCTACAATTCTATTCTTTTTTAATTTGTAATAAGTAAGAGTAACTCTTGCTCACTCTAGAAATAGGAAGATATAACTTATAATTTTCTAATCAAAACAAAAATTTTATAACCAAAGATAATTTTAGACATTATCAGAAAACTACAATGCACACATTTTATACATACAAATATACTTTATATATTCCTAATTTTTATACTTACTTCATCTTTAGCTACATCTTTATAGAATGTGTATATTAGCAGACTGTTGTATTATTTACTTACGTTTACATAATAAAAATTTAAAACATGACACAATTACATAACATCCAAGTACAGTCTTATACAGAGATGCATTGAAACCTTTAATTCTTCCTATTTGCATTAAGAACATATAATGCAATATATATACAAGTGTGTTCGCTAAATATTAGAATGCAAAAAATCTCTGTATATATTAGACGTTAATATTTGTAAAATGGTTCCACACCCCATGTAAGTTGGGAATAATAAATAAATATAAATATATATATATGTATATCAGTCACATGTTCTTAATAATATAATTAAATGAAAAAATGCCTTGTTTGCAAAGAAATGCTTCATGATTCTAGGACTGCAGAGATAATTCGGGTGAGCTTAAGGGGCTTCCCTAGTGTAACAGGGCCTAAAAATGAATGATTTTTAAAAGGAAAACGACAAAACCAATTGATGAACAACTTTTCCCACATATTTTACTATTTTTCAAGAATGCATACAAATTTTTTCAAAATTTTATATCTGTTATTAAGCCCGTGCCAGCTATTTTTTTGGAGCGCCGCGAAAAAAACGGTGACCACGATTGCAGCCGTTGTAGTTATCTGAAACAAAAAGGCAAAAGGATTCTTAATCTACTTGAGTGTGGCTATAAGTAGTCTGAAGCAGAATCATGAAAAAATATTGAAAATTTAAAAAATTATAGCGATTATAATTATTTTAATAATTATTTTAAATAAAATTTAAAAAATTATAGCGATTATAATTATTTTAATAATTATTTTAATAATTATAATCGCTATAATTTTTTAAATTTTCAATATTTTTTCATGATTCTGCTTCAGACGATAGCCACACTCAAGTAGGTTAAGAATCCTTTTGCTTTTTTGTTTCAGATAACTACAACGGCTGCAATCGTGGTCACCGTTTTTTCGCGCCGCTCCAAAAAAATGGCTGGCACGGGCTTAATAACAGATATAAAATTTTAAAAAAATTTGTACGCATTTTTGAAATATAGTAAAATATGTAAGAAAAGTTGTTCATCAATCGGCTTTGTCGTTTTCTTTTTAAAAATTATTCATTTTAGGCCCTGTTACACTAGGGAAGCCTCTTAAGTAATCGACCGAATATCCACCATGATGTAAAACAACAATAATAACGAAAATGTTTTTCTCATATCCACTATATTTGACACATTGGGTCGCATTACACAATTCGATATGTTAAAAAAATGCTGAATAATAATTATTTAATATCAACGTAATTTTTACCTGTAATTTTTTCTATAAAAACATTACAGGTGTTCTAGCTCAGTGAAACGAACTCTGTGGGAGCTTGTTTTGTAATTTTATAAGCTCTCCGGAAGCTCAAAAATATAAACTTCCTAAGAGCTTGTTTTGTCGAATTTTGTAAGCTCTCGGGAGTTCAGCAAAATGAACTCCCTGGGAACTTAATCGGAGCTTTGCGCTGTGTGAGTATATATTGTTGCGTGCCCCAATGCGAGATGTGAGTAGCGAAATAATGGACGGAGCTCTCCGTTCAACTCACACGGAAGACGGTCTTTATAAGCTTCTCCTCTATGATGCGCAGACAGTGTCCAGTGAGTCGTTCCTTCGATGAGTCGTCCCTTACAATTAATTCAGACTTAGCTTTCTGCAGAAGAGAAGAATTGAGAATTCTCTTCGGCGCCCCGCATCTATAATTGCTAAGTTTCAGTATTTGCTTGCTGGAGAAGGGTACAGGGTAGCAGTACAACAGTAAGAACTTAACAGTCTTTCATTTGGCAGCAATAAAGGGCTAACGTAAAAGAAAATCGAGCAGAAATTGCCGAAAATGGGAAAGGAGCTATCGGAAAAGTTACCATTTAAAAGCGAAAACTGGAAAAGAGACGCGCAAGCAGTCCTCGAGGACAGTTTAAAAAACAGAAACGAGACAAGTTTTCTGACGTATGTGGAGGATATTCAGGGAGAGATTCCTCCTTGTTTGGTTGAGAATCTGCTAACGATATCCGCACAACATAATTGGCAAAAAGCCGTAAAAGCAATTCTAAACAGATTTGAAAAAAAGCATGGACAAGGAACCAATTCGTACTTAAGCGTCAAAGAAGCCGCACGTACGGCTGTTCAGAATGGTCGTTATGTTATTTTTGAGGAATTGCTGAAAGTGGAACCCGAGATATCCCACCATCTAATTCTAAGCGTCTGCCTGAAGTTGGGAGAGCCAAGAAAACGAGGAGTCAACGATACGTTACTACGTTCGAATCTGAAAACGTGTCTGGAGATGATCTTGAAACAAATTAACGTGGATGTCTGTTGCATTGACAGTGAGTATATTATAATAAATGTCATAAATATCGCAGAAACTAGCTCTTTTTGACAACATAAGTAGATTATTTTTCACTTTTCGAGACTTTTCTTTCTGAAAACAGTTTCACTCTGATTGTAAATTTCTAATTTTGAAGAAAAAGGTAACACGCTGTTGAATTACGCGGCTATAAGAGCAGACAATTGCAAAGCAATGAGTCTGCTTTTCAAACGAGGCAGTTACATTGGACGAATAATTGCAATGTTAGTTGCTGTTAGTTGCAGACATTTCGTCAGTCTTATCGGCCTACTTCGACGACTGCTTGAAGAAGATAAGGAACCAAACGAAAGAAGACGTAATTGAGTACGACTATAGTTGCTTGATGTCACACAACATTTTCTCAATACAGAATACAACTCATCGAGGGACTTGCGAAACGGAAGTGTTCCTAGACATCGCGCGTAACAAAAATCTTAATCATCTGCTAAAACATCCGTTGCTCTCGTCCTTTCTCTATCAGAAATGGTGCAAGATACGACATATATTGTACACGAATATTGGCTTCTATGGGATCTTCTACTTTTTGCTGAATACCTATATCCTGAACATGATTTACGAAAGTTCTCCAAATGAAAACGGAACGCAAACGGTCAATGACAGTTTCGACGTGATTTTGAACAGTACTCTTTTAATCCGCTTCTATCCAGAGAGTCTCCTGTGGATTTTCGTTATCGTATTGTGGTTGCTTTTCACCATTTGGGAGATCCTTCTATTTGCCTGCTGTCCTCGCCGTTACTTGATGAATTGGGAAAACCGGCTACAGGTTGTGCTGATTATATTTACCCTCATTTTATTATGTGGCGCGGGAGCATGGAGTCGCGTCGTGGTAGTCTTATTGTCTGCCTTAGTGCTGACAACTCTGATCAGCCAACATCCGAAAATATCTACCAACTTTGAAATATTTTGAATAATTTCTCGTAATTACGTGTACTTACTTTTACCGTATTTGGTTCTCATCATCGCGTTTGTCCTGACTTTCTACATAGTCTTTGAGAACAAGAGACATTTTTCTAATCCCGGGGACTTGCTCTTCAAAACGCTCATCATGGTATTCACAGGCGAATTCAACTCCAACGATATCCCGGTCGACTCACATCCCGTTTTGAGCCGCATTGTATTAGTGCTGTTTGCTTTCTTCATTTTTGTATTGGTCAATGTAATTAACGGTCCAGCAGTCAGTAACACTGAAGAAATTCGATCTGAAGCTAAACTGAACGGACTCGTCTCTCGAATACGCCTGATCGTTTATCTTGAAAACATAGCATTCGGCAAACCATTTAGTTGGCTCAATTGGTTCAGCCGCGGAAATTCGTGTTTGTTACGATGGAATCCCTTCAGCTTCCTTACTAAAAGAATTTTTTGGTTTCCGCATTATTTGGAAAACGATAAAATCACTTTCTTTCACGACTACAGAATCCCCGTTGAGCAATCGGGAAATATAATTAAAAAAGGTGAACGTATTAGTTCTAATAAAAATCAACCGTCACATATCAAGAAGATAAAAACCACTTTGAATAAGCAACAAGAAAAATTAACCGAGATAAACGACAATTTCAAAAATCTCGTAAGAAAGATTGGGTTACGCAAACTGCGCGCCAAGTGTCGGTTTTGAAACACAGTTTCTGCGTCTAAAGCCGAAATAGTATACACGTAATTAAATTGATTAATTAATTAAATTAATGTAATATAATAATTTCATAACATTGTCCGCTGCATATAACTTGTATATTATTTTATATAAATCTCATGAAATAAAATTTATTTTATATGTATATATTATTTTACTGTTTTATACATATACATATGTACATATATAAAACACATACTAAATTTTGTTACATATGTCGATTTGATTGGAAATGTTAAATTCCATACAATTCGACAAGATATAGTGATAGACAATCGTGATAGATAATTGTATGATTTATTAATATATTGTTGCAAATATCATTGCACAATTTATATAATGCATTATTGTGCATTTATATAATGCATTACTTATTGTAAGCGAATAAATTTGACAAAAACGAATCAGCTTCCCGGAACCAGAGGTACATCCGAATATATAATTGAGCCCGTATTCCCCCCCCCCCCCACATTCGAGGACGTAGATACACTGAGGGCCTATTCTGTAACTCTTAAAGACAGTTTCGTTCTATTGTCGTTGCGCAGCTTTTTTATCATATATAATATATGCGCAACACAAATTGTTCATTTACATTAATTTATATAATTATCAAGCGACGCGGTAGCGTCGCGACGCCGAGTACATGAAAAATTGACTTGTAAATTGACTGATGACCGAGTTGTTGCCTACATTCAGGGGCATATTACCGCGGCGCTACCAAGTAGCTTTACCGGAATATTCATTTTATTCGTGCTTTTGATTAAAATATCTCGGAAACGAAAGCCCTAATGAAAATCTAATAAATTTTTATATTTATAACGTTATTAAACCATAATGTTTGCACTGCTCATGTATGAGCATGTTAGAATGCATGTTAGAATGCCGTGTAACGTAGGTGCGACGTACGTTGGCCGCACACGAATTTATCTCTCGTGAGGTCTGCTGCTGTTATATTAGACACAATAAGACGTCGCATCATCTTCTCGAATTAACCTACGATAATCCATAT